GTGTAAGAGATGCATACAGCTAATTTGCCTACTGTTCATGGCTCTTCTAGAATCCAATCTAGCCTGTGTTTTATGTTGGGTAAGAAATAGAAAATTCAAAAAATCAAATTATCCCCAAAAAGGTTTATTTTAAGTTTCATTAACCTATTGTGTAAGTGCCCTGATCTGGCAGCTTTATCTTGTGGAGTACCATGCAAGTGGAAGTTGCTTGTTTCTATTCAAGGTGAGGAAGCATCTTGCTTGCAAAACCTTTCCCAGAAAGACAGAACAAAAGAAAACAGAGCAGCCCTTGTTTATGCTGAGCATCTCTGCATGTACCTCAGAGAATCTCACACTCCGAGTGACTGATTGCACAGATGATACTTGCAATTAAATTTCAAAGGTGAAACTTCAGTTTTTGAAACAGAAAATCTTTCAAGATTCTACATTTACATTGTGAATGGAGGGAACGTTCAAGCTGTAGTTTTGCCAATAACAGATCAGTAACATGAAAAGACATCCTGTGACTGAACAGAATTATTATTGGGTTAAAATGCTTTTTCAAACAAGGCCAAATTAAGGCATTAGTCCTGCAAAGGTTGGTTCTCAACAATTTCCGTGAGTCAGTTCAGTATATAAAGTGAAAAATATTAGAAAGTCATTTCAGGAACAGGACCTTTGCCTTACCATATATTGCACTGCCAATAATTTAGGCATAGAGTTTACATTTTTTAAATGAAAGCCCTCATAAGAGCTGTTTCTCTGGATCAGACCAACAGCATATCTGCTCTTCATCCTGTATCCTCCAGTGGCCAGCCAGAGGAGTAAGAAAAGCCTAGGAACAGGACAGCAACATTTCCCCTCACCGTGGTTGAAGAGTGTGCTGTTTCATGTTTTTGGACTGCAAAGCTCAGAAATCATAGTTTTCCTATCCATTAAACTCTATAGAGGCACCTCCTGAAGAACTATGACTCCCAGGAAGCACCACAATGAACGCAGCTTATGGCAGGAGCACAGCACCATCTGAGGCAAATAATCAGAAAGTCCTTCTCTGGGGTGGGCGGTGAAATATAGAGGTCATCAGACTTTTATCAGTGGGCTACAACTTAAAGAATTTTGCCTGAGTAATTCTTTTGAGAATTCTGGACTCTGCAGTCCCAAAATATGAAAGAACACACTGTACTATTGTTCCCAGGACCTGGCATTCAAAAGTAAACTGCCTATGATGATCCCAGAACTGGCCTATATGATCATCATAGCAGTAACCCCTACTGGCCTTCTACTCCTTGAATTTGTCTAATCTCCAGGTCATATTGCCTGCTGTTTTATTTCATTCAGTCTCCTAATAAGGCAAGATTAGCGAAAACTTCAAAAGAAAACAGCAACACAGAACCCTCTTGTCAATGGGTCAATTGCCATATCCCTACTTTTACATTTTCCCTTTTGTCAGCTCAGTGCATTCTACTTTGTCTGTTTTGTGTGAAACATACAAAAACCAAAAAAAAAAAAACCCAGCAGAGTTAAAATGTTACAATATTTTCATTAACATAAAAAGGAGAAAATGAATTTATAAAATAAAAGTTTTAGTTAACATCAGTACATTTACAAGTAAAATTAGAAGGATTAAAAAACAGATTAAATTCTTAAAAATAATAAAATTGTATGTAAAAAAAACCTTCCCAAGGAGAATATATTTATCAATTTATACAACAGATCTTTATACACACACTCCTTTTTCTCTTTCACACACATGGATGATATGTTGGCTTACTAAGGAGATCATGAGCTGATATATCCCTGAAATTTTTAGAACAAAAACATAAAGTCAAAGTTCAAGTTGTACTTGCTATAATATCAAGTATTAAGATTTGTTTTTCCCAATGATAAGGGGGCAGAGAGTTTGGAGAAGATGGTATAACATGTTATTAATTTCCACTCTCAGCTTAATATCCTATTGCCAACTAGTGTTGAGGTATTTAACAAGTAGGTACATCATTCAAACATTTTAATGATTTTTTTAAGCTCACATTATATTTTAATAGCAAGCTGAGTAGCACCATGATGTGAATTCAGCTCCAAATCCATATATATATATATTTATATTTATAGAGATATATATAATATATAATTATGTATTTGTACAGTATTAAAATACTAAAGCATTAAAAATCTGTTTACAAGTTAAGTTACTATACATCTCTTTTGTTTACACTTTTAAACAAACTACCTGTTTAAAACCCACCACAGCAAACCAGCTGCCTGTTCTATATCCTTTTTTTTTTCATCAATAGAATCATACAGATTAACCCTGTGTCTCTTTCTTTGATAGTATTCAAAAGTCTTCCTTGGAAAGAGGGACAACATTAGCTGAGCAGTCATGTATACTGTAAGATAAAAGCTCATTGAACCCTAAAGCAGTCTGCCCAGTTATTATGGAGAGCTCTATGGGTCATTAAAAAACACACAGTAGAAATGAACTACTGCACTCAATTGTCAAGTCTAACCCATACAGCTAATTATAATCAGTGACATAACTTTTTAAAAACTGAACAACTTAAGGAATAAGCTTGTCATACTTACAAAACAGAAAATTCACAATATTTTTGTAAAATAAGCACCAGAATGTGGGTTCTGAGTAATAAAATTATTCCCTTGTATCCAGTGAGCCCCAGTTTGACTTTGATCATCAGTATAAAGGGATGCTTCTCTTCTCTGCTAATTGCAGTAAAAAGGCTAATAATATGTTTTCAAAACCCATGATGGGGGAGAGAAGCAACAGGGAACAAAAATGTAAAGTGCCCTTCTCTGCTTGTCCTCAGTGCCAAAGTCTGCGCACACTTGTGCCTATTTGCCTATAAAAACAAAATACTTAAAGGCTGTAATTTTTAAAGATCTCTTGGTAACATGCAAGTATGATTTTAAAGTTGTTTTATAACCTTAACACCCTTAGCTGCCAATGCTGAAAGTAGGCAAAGTTTTATCAAGCACCATTAAGAAGTATGGATAGAATCCAACTCATGTTTTACAGTTGTATTAAGTGAAAGGGTGTGAGTCATGATGACAAATTGCATTAATTAATGAGTTACAGGTTATGTTCTTGAATGTGTGCCCAAGAATGCAACCAACACCTTGTTAATTAGCAGCAATTTACTGCTGCAACCATCACCATTTCACTTACACAAGCATAAATGCCAGATGGACTCTGACCTATATTATTCATCTGTTTCTGGTTCATAATCAGGTTTTAACTGGATGGATAAACTCCAATAAGATCCAACAAAACTTCCAGAGGCATTGGGAATAGCAGTGCAAGCAATGGGAATCAAGCATGAAGTTTCTTTGGACCTTCCTACATATTGTAGTCTTTAGCACCATATTGCATAAGCCAATAACATTTTTTTCAGCCCAATATGATCAAAAGTAAAGTGTGCTGCTTATATACCGCCCCATAGTGCTTCAAGCACTCTCTGGGCAGTTTACAAGTTAATTATGCAGGCTACACATTGCACACACCCCCAGCAAGCTGGGTACTCATTTTACCCACCTCAGAAGGATAGAGGGCTGAGTCAACCTTGAGCCGGCTACCTGGGATTGAACTGCAGTCCAGCAATTTAACAACTGTGCCACAAGGCTCTTTTCTCTCAAGAGAAACCACTTTGCTGAAACTGGAATAGTTAAACTTCTATTGTGCTGAGTTTTGAGTGCAGTTTATAATTAATTAATAATAACATGCTGTCAATGCTGACTTAAGGCAACCCTTTTCAGAGTTTACCAGATAAGGAATACTCAGATTTCATTTCCCATTCCCTTCTTTTGGAGGGCACCCTGGGACTGTGCAGCTTGCCCAAGGCCACCCAGGCTGGCTCTACTTGCAGGAGGAACAGTGGGGAACCCCAGCCACTGGCTCTGCAGCCAGATGCCTAAACCTCTGATGCAGCTTCAACGTCAGTACTTGTAGTCTTTATTGGTAAATAAGGGAGTAACAAAGTCACATTTCAAACTAACATGGCCAGAATGAAGTTACTTTATGCTTTAATAGGCAATGCTCTCTAGTTCAAGCTACATTTAAAGGCATTTTTGAAGCTTTTTGACACATTGTTCATGGTTTTTATGTTGTTCTCCCATCAATCCTAAGAAGTTTTCTTTTTCAAATACTAAAATAATGAAAAGTAATTTCATTCAACAGCATTGTTGTTCTCTGCCATCAAGTTGGAAATGACTGATAGTGGCCATACGTGAGCTATTTAAGCAATGGTTTCCCCCATTCCATTCCCCCAGTGAGTTTCCATGGCCAACCATACGTGAGCTATTTAAGCAATGGTTCCCCCCATTCCATTCCCCCAGCGAGTTTTCATGGCCAAGTGGGAATCTGAACCATGTTCTTCAGAATCCTAGTCCGTCCGCTCTAATATGAACCCTGTTCTTCAGAATCCTAGTCCGTCCGCTCTATCCACTACACCACACTGGGTTTCTCATGCAGCAGCTTATGGGAAACTATTTTTAAAAGCTGATATTCTGAGCAACATCCTTGCAATGGCAAGGCAGAATGGGGCAGGGAGGAAAAATTAAAAATAAACATGAAGGTTATTCTAAATGTTCTTCCACTGAAAGAGGAGCATTATGGCTAAGAAACAAGAGAAGGAAGAAAGAAGTGCCAAAGGCATTTTTATGACCTGGTGGATTGGGCAAGGAATTCTTCCTTTTAAAAACAGCTTGGCTTTCCTCCTAGCTAGTTTGCAGCACAAGGCTGTCCCTATCATTATACATATTTAGTACGTTTCTTTTTGACAGAATTCAGTTGAGTTACTTGTTGAGGAATTTAAAAAGTAAATTCATCACCTTTGTTAGAATGTTTGAAGACCAAGATGCAGCATTAATGCATTAAATTACTTTTCATTGCTTTAGTATATGAAAAAGAAAGCCACTTAGGATTCATAGAATGGCATAAAAACTATAAAAATTGTGTCAAAAAGCATCATAAATGCCTTTAAATGTAACTTGAACTAGAAAGCATTGCCTGTTAAAGCATAAAGCAACTTCATTTCGATCATGTTAGTTTTAGAACGTACTTTCGTTACATCCTCACTTACCAATAAAGACTGTTACAGGTACTGACATTAGCTTTAACTTATTATTTCAAAACTCTATCATTAGCCAGAGACCAAGATACAATGATGTACTTTGCTATCCATTACCTTCCTCCTCCTGTTGTAGCTCTCTGTTGTGTCAAGCAAACAAAACAAAACTGCTTTGGAGAGTTTCATGACCCTACAGAACAGGATTTTTAGGATATGCGAGGGGACTATCAGAGGGAAGTGGGACCACTGATTCTACCACAAACAGTGGCATTGAACAGAAGCACAGCATTGGCTTTTGGACAAAGTGTGGCACTAGCCACATAGCACATTTGAAAATACAGGAAATCTTTCACTATTTCATAGATTATAACTGTAATGTAGAATCAGGAAGAAAGAGAAGAGTGTTGAATGGCAAAATAATTTGACTGGCCTGGGGAACTATGCACACAGATGTCAGGTGGCGATAGGAACCATTTTCTGCTGCACCTCAGGCAGTAAACGCCTCAAACCTACCCTACAGTAAAGATGTTCAATAGGTATAAGATTTCTGTAATTTTGTTTGCACAACAAACCCCAGAATTCACCAGGAATTCCTCTGGACAAAATTATGAGAGCTACAAGCAAAAAGACAACAAGCAAAAAGTCCAGAGGTATTTTCAGTTATTCACAGGTATAGGCTCAGAAAGCCTTCTTTAGCAACCTTCATTTTAGCTATGAAGAAGGCAGTGGTTGGGAGAAGCTAAACTGCAAAGGAGACTGCAAATTAGATTCTGTACAGGATGCCTCTCCAAAAACTACCAATCTAATAACCCTTTGTGGCTCTCCTGCAACTTAGGTCTTCTCAGCCACTTCCTCCTTCACAGTCAAAGTGAAGGTTACTAAGGAGACCTTCCACTGGCTGGACAGCTCAGTGATGTAAGTATCTGGCGATGGAGTCAGAGGTTGGGAGTTCAGTTCTCTACTGTGCCTCCTTCAAGTAGAGCCAGCCTGTGTGGCCTTGGGCAAGCTACAAAGTCCCAGGGAGCCCTGAAGGAGAGAATGGTAAACACCTTTTGAGTATTCTTCACCTAGACAATCCTGAAAATGGTCACCATGTCAGGATGGACTTGACTGCACATGGTTAAGGAGACCTTCAGAAGATGGCAACTCTGAGTGAATGAAAACACATTTGAGAGCTTTGATTTCTTGTCTGTGGCTCCCAGAATTCTGGCTGGGGAAACTCTGGCTGTAAGAAAATATAGTATTTCTGCAAAAAGGGTCACTACCACCGAACTACATGACAATGTGCTATAAACTGATTGGCTTTAGTTTGGGCGGTGGCATCACATATGAATGAACTGAAGCAAAGCTTCATCTTACCCACTCCTCACACTAACTCCAGTATAGGCACAAGGAGAAAACAGAAAGATATCTACATTTTGTTTTGAATTAACTAGGGTTTAACTTTACGGCCATGTCTAGTTAACGTAAACTCTGATTTGTTAACCAGACAGGTTCATAAGCCATGGTTTGATAATAGCTTATTTAAAAAAAAGTTTCCCTTCTTTAGTTTCCCTATTCTAAACTGACTGGTTTAGAATAGGAAGTTAATTCCTCTGTCTTGTTTTTCTTGATTGGACCAGGGAAGTAAGTGGGTGAATTGGAAGCACATGAGTCCAAGGCTCATTACTGCTCCCATCATGCAGAGAATATGTGAAACAGAAAGTTTCAGAGAAACCTCTGGTTTAACATGCCTTAATCCCATTGCTCATGTATTGCTTTGTTAGATCTTTTGGTTCTGACTCATCAAAATTCCCATTTGTTAAAAATGCATTAAAAAAAAAAGACCAGGCTTACTGGATACAAAAGCACAAATTTTTAAAGATCCTGTTTACAGTTCAAGGATAGCACAGTATAGTTTTAACCCACTGTGGTTTAAAAAGGCATTAAAACTGTTCAACTGCTGTATTAGACACAATTCTTCTACATAGCACCATGTTTTAGAATATCCAAACAAATTCAGTGTTTTGCTTTGTATTCTTTGTTATATATGTAGCTATCCTGATTAAAAAAAATCAAGTCAATGATAAGATTACAGCAGAAAATAAACAAAAACAACAAAACCCTGCACATTAAAAAGCTGCATGTTAAAAAAAGTTATATTTCCAGTATTTCAGCACATTGTAAATTCAGCACCTGGAGATATTTTAAAATTTCTGCTACTGAAATACTACAGTATGTTCACTTTAACAAACAGACTTCTCTTACTTATTAGCTTTCATTAAAATGGTCACAGATGCAATTTGTTTTTTTTTTAAAATTATGAATATGGATTATTTCTTCCAGCAGTCAAACCAGATTTTCAGTGATAACTGGTGACTATCAGTGATTCATTTTGCATAGGGTGCTTTGGCTTTAGTTCTTAGCACATTACCCATGTTACCTGTGACCCCTCACCCAATAAATGCAGTGGCATAATGTTACGCTGTTTGCTGGTAAGAGGAGGTTTTCCCATTGAGAATTTAAAAGGCAAAATACTGTCTTTTACCCTTTCTCTGCCTACAGCCTAGAAAGAATTATTATTATCCTACTGACATTTTAAAAAAAGTATATAACAACAAACCAGATGAGGTAATGAACAAAGACTTGACTTATATGTATCTGTTGTAAGGCCCAGTAACCCGTGTAAAGGCATATGGAGATGTGGTAACTGTGGAGTTCGTGGTGAGTGACATCGTCCTTTGTGCAAGAGACCTGATGAAGTGCATGTAGGTTGGTTCCAAGTTCTCGTTTGATTCTGTGGGCTCCCGTTTTACTTTTTTGCCATGCACTTTCTGAGGCACATAATCTGGGCCATATTTTTCACAGTCCTCCTCTTTTTCTCTTGCCTTCTCAGCCATTTTAGCCTCCCACAATGCGAGACCATGCTTTGGCTCATTCATACTTTTGTGCTGGTAAAATACAAGTGATATTCTTGTGGGATGGTTCCTATTGGGGTTTTTCAATGGGGTGGTTGCGTGGAGTTCACGTTTTGCACACTCTATGAGGATTGACCCATGAGATGGAGCAACAGCCACACCTCCAATGTCTGGATCCAAAAAACTTTGCTCATTGTCTGACCAGACCTCATCAGGATCCTCTGGATGATTAAGCACCTCAGTTTTATTCATGCCTTCTTGGGAAGAAGTTCTGTTGTGGTTAAGACCTGGAAACATGTTTGACAACCCATTAGCTGCTTGACTATCCTTGTTCTGAAGGTGGATTGAATGAGGACCATTGAACATGCTTGCAGCAGAGTGGTAGTCCTGTGTTAGGTGTGGAGGGGGATACAGATGGTCACCATTTTTATTCAGGTAATCTATGCCTGGCTTATTTAGATTAGATTTGAGTCTAGAAGCAATGTCCATAAAAGGATCTTCAACTTCATGGGTGGAGTAAGAAGGAAAAGAACTTGCATGCTGCACATTTGGTCTAATGGTGCAACTGTTGAAAGCATCTAGTTGCACATTTTGGTTTCCATAATTCAAGTACCTAGGGCCAAAGTTCTGGTTATTTCCAAACCTGTGCTGATATAATGTATGAATAGGAGGTAGACTTAGTTTAGATATAGAGTCTTGGGTCTGATACCTAAACAAGTCCATATGCTGAGGCTGGTTGGAATAGGAACTGTAGTAGGGGGAACAGTTGTCCATAGGCAAGTTTCCATTGCATTGGTAATGGGGATATTGGTTGTAGGGATTCATGAGAGTGGAAGAATTCAAATACGCTCCTGTAGGCTGTGAAGAGGTTGGGTAGATGTTCATGGGGCTGGACCCACCATAAGGACCTGAAGCATGTGAAGAGTTTGGATATGGATTGGCTGGATTAGGTAGACCCATGTAGAGGTTTGTGGGGGCAGAAGAAGAGTAGGAGTTGATATGATTTGACTGAGGTTTAGTAGGGAGGGCATGATGCGGATGCGAATGCTGATAGAGCTGCTGCTGTGACATAGCTGGTCCTGAAAGACGCAACAGATCTGCAGACAGAAAACAAAAACAGGAAAGTGGTTTTACATGAGATAAAACCAATGCTAAATGCATAGATTTCCCCCCCTTCTCTTGTATTAGGAAGAGGCAATGCACATGCCAGTATTTTTGGAAGGTGTCCACAGTGATCAGTGAAGGAAGGTTCACTACTACTACTACTGAAATGTCTGTAGGCTGTCATCATTGTTGGAGATAAGAGAATGAGATGAAGCCTATATCTTAGGGGCACTTTTTTTCTGGTGTGCCTCATCCTTCATACCTTCTATCAGTTATTTTATTTATTGAGAAGACAAGCTCATCAAAAGTGGACAGGACAGGACATATTAAGAAAAAGCACTCCCTTTCCCCAGCATAGTCCAATAATGATATGTGTGCGGACTTGGAGATGCTGTATCGGTCTAGCCTGCAACACATTTTCAAGACACTTGTGATAGCGTGAGAGACAATAAAAGTGTGCAGATGATGTCCTAAGTCCTCTTTTTAGTATCAACTAGTTTAGATTCATTGAATGAATGGAACTTATGACCATTCATTCAATGGACTACTCTAGTTGGGACTTACAAATGGATTTCACCAAATGAGTACTAGACTTCCTGAAGGTACAGTCAGGAGAAGTCAACAGACAACTGATTAGCAATTCTCTTGCTGGTGACAGCATGCAGGAAGCTCTCCAAAAGCATCAGGTTGGAGCAGACTTTGGTTTCCCTTTTACTGATTCTGCCAGTAGTAGGGAAATGTTAAAGAAAACCTAAATTATTTTGGGGATCGAAAACTCTGTTTTGCAGGGAATTCTCCCTCCACTTTCTACTTTGGCAAGGCTGTGTGGAGTGGTAGGTGTGCCTTATTGCTTCCTGTTATTATTTTACACATACACACAAACACACACACACACACACACAGAGCGAGAGAGAGAGAGAGAGAGAGAGAGAGAACAGAAAAAGGCTTGAAATGAAATGAACATTTATTCCAAAAGAAACCATTTTGCAACAGTTTAGCAACATTCTGGTAAATTCTAATAAAAAACATACAAGCAAACAAAATTCTCATCCCATCTGTAAAAGAAGTAAAAACAGAATAGGTGAAAGCTCCACGCCACAAATGAAGTTCCAATCATTCACCCAACCATTTGGAATTTATGTTGTTTGCTTGGTCCATGTGTATGTTTTATATAAACAATTAAGAAACTGATGACACTCTGCAACCAGACACCTAAACCACTCGAGATAGCCAGAAGTTCATACATTTTGTATATCTCTGTTTTGTATCTATTTGTATTTTTTAATACCTAGTATGATTTGTCAGGGTATATGCAAAAACTATAGAACAAATATAGCACTGAAATCCTAAAAGATACTGAGGCATGGAGAGACTGTTTCTACACACAAACAGGCTGTTCATTTTTATATCAGTTCAATGTACAGTACCTATTCAAATGAAAACCTAAGAGTCAAACTGGATGTGACATTAAATGTACTGTTGCTTTTTCTTGCATTAGGTGCACTTAAAAAATGGAAATCATGCCCTCTGGGAGCTGAACACAATCAGGAATGCAGTAAGTGGGCAAGAAGGCATTTATATATCTCCCCTGCAATCATCCTGAATAAAAAATGTCTTGCCTCCTGCATTGCTACTTGAATCAGGAAGAAAGTTCCCTGTGGCATGTTTGCACATGCTATCCAGTTTTGTCCAGAAATAGACATTTCATTATCCATCAACCATGAAACTTTCAAATGTATAATCAAGAATAAAACCATGGAACCTCTAGGACCCCCTTTCACTTGACTCCATTTTCAGCTCAACCGAGGGTCTCAGACAATCCTAAGAGCCTGGAGAGTTGCTGCCAGTCAAAGCAGACAACACTTGTCTAAGTGGGCAGACAATCTGATCTGATGTAGGGCAGTTGCTTTCTCTTTTCCTAAGCTTTAGGCAGCAATGGACTGAGCTATACAACTTGGAATCAAATACTACATTTGTCCTAGGAAAGCCAAATGTCTTAAACAAAAAGCGTGCAACTCATGTTCCTCCAGATGTTGTAGGTCTGCATAACCAATGGTCCATCATTGACTATGTTGCCCAGGGTTGATGGGAGCTGCAGCTTAGCAACATCTGGAGGACCATTAGTTGCCCGTTTGACCTTAAATAAAGAAACTAACACTTAAATATGTTGCTCAACTTTAGGAAAGTCCTGAGAGCTGAACATTTCAGCTTCAGAAAATGACCTAGTCTATCTCACACATCTCATAACCCCAATAGCACTGGCAGATGTAACAACAGCATGCTGAACAGTGGTGTATGTGTGTCCACAACCATACCTGCTAACTGTTTTGCATGAGCTGATGCCTCTGAGCTGGCCTGCTTCTGACGTGCTGCGGCTGATTTTTCTTTCTCATGTTTACTAGATCCATTCTCCATGGAAGCCAACTTCTCAGTTGCTGCCTTTTTGGCTTCCAGCTTTTTTTGCCGGCAAGTCTTCACAGGTTCAGCCAGCATTCTTACTTTTCGGCGAAAAGAAGTAAGGACCTGGATGCTGCCATTCTGTTTTTTCTCCTCCTGCCCTTCTGCGCTTCCAAATTCATCAACATCAGATACTTTGTACAAAGGGAGCACGTGAAGTTGTTCATCTTCTGGTGTTTGGCCAAGTTCACGATTGTCTTCTCGGGTTAGAGTACATACCTATTAAAACAGTGGGATAGAATGTCCTTTTAGTAAGACAGGACATTGTGATAGAGTTTGGCTTGTATATAAATATGATTTCCACCTTAAAAGCACACATGGTTAATTGATCTTGAATTGCAGCCTCTGTGTTGGGAACTTAAACCAAGAACTGACTTTTGACTTTAAACCCTTAACACTTTCTAGTTTCCTCATTAACTTTTTTCTTTCTTTCTCTAAAAGGAAGGAAGTGACATAACTTAAGGTATTTCAAAGTAAATTCTATAACCTTGCAGCTCTAAGAGCAAAAATATTGACTCAGTCAACAGCTTCTTTCTCTTGGCTGGTGTTCAAAACAATGGCCTGAATATTCATCCCAAACATATCATTTACTTAGCAACCTTGGGAAGTGGTGCCTTCTGGCTGTTAGAAGACACTATTCTCTCTGACTCTGATTAGTCAAAGGCTACTTTAACATCAATGTTGGTGTTGGTGCCTCTGTAATAGATGATGGTGATAATTACATGCTGTCCAGTAGATTCAGGCATGGTGACCTTTCCCCTGGTTTTCTAGATACACTGGACTTAAAAGTAGTTGAAAGTATCTTGTTCTGAGAGCACTCTGGGGTGATGCAGCTTGCCCAAAGTAACACAGGCTGTTTTTTCTCCTGAGAGGCACTGTGGGGAACTGAACTCTTGACCTCAGCTTTGCAGCCAGGTATCCAACTCACTATCTAGTCAGCTCATTTCTCTATATAGTACCTTGTACAAATAAGTGAGGGGCAGACTGCAGATGGTGACAGCAGCCACGAAATTAAAAGATGCCTGCTTCTTGGGAGGAAAGCGATGACAAACCTAGACAGCATCTTAAAAAGCAGAGACATCACCTTGCCAACAAAAGTCCTCATAGTCAAAGCTATGGTTTTTCCTGTTGTGATGTATGGAAGTGAGAGCTGGACCATAAAGAGGACTGACCACCAAAGAATGGAAGCTTTTGAACTGTGGTGCTGGAGGAGACTTTTGAGAGTCCCCTGGACTGCAAAGAGGACAAACCTATCCATTTTGAAGGAAATCAACCCCGAGTGCTCACTGGAAGGACAGATCCTGAAGCTGAGGCTCCAGTACTTTGGCCATCTCATGAGAAGAGAAGACTCCCTGGAAAAGACCCTGATGTTGGGAAAGTGTGAGGGCAAGAGGAGAAGGGGATGACAGAGGACGAGATGGTTGGATAAGTAGGGACGTTCTTAAGTAGAGACCCCACTGTATCTAGTCAGCTCATTTCTCTATACAGTACCTTGTACAAATAAGTGATGGGCAGACTGCAGATGGTGACAACAGCCACGAAATTAAAAGATGCCTGCTTCTTGGGAGGAAAGCGATGACAAACCTAGACAGCATCTTAAAAAGCAGAGACATCACCTTGCCAACAAAAGTCCGCATAGTCAAAGCTATGGTTTTTCCTGTAGTGATGTATGGAAGTGAGAGCTGGACCATAAAGAGGACTGACCACCAAAGAATGGAAGCTTTTGAACTGTGGTGCTGGAGGAGACTTTTGAGAGTCCCCTGGACTGCAAAGAGGACAAACCTATCCATTTTGAAGGAAATCAACCCCGAGTGCTCACTGGAAGGACAGATCCTGAAGCTGAGGCTCCAGTACTTTGGCCATCTCATGAGAAGAGAAGACTTCCTGGAAAAGACTCTGATGTTGGGAAAGTGTGAGGGCAAGAGGAGAAGGGGATGACAGAGGACGAGATGGTTGGACAGTGTCATCGAAGCAACCAAGATGAATTTGACCAAACTCCGGGAGGCAGTGGAAGACAGGAGGGCCTGGCATGCTCTGGTCCATGTGATCAAGAAGAGTCGGACACAACGACTAAACAACAAAAATGTACTGATACACCATTGGGTGGCTGGCAGTAGATCTGTCAGGGCTTTTGGCTGAATGAAAGCAAGGAGTTCCCCCACCCCCAAAGATGTCCTTTTGGTGATTGTTATATCTGAGCTTTGGTACTCCTCATCTGTAAAATGGAAGTATCAATTACCGTATTTTTCTGTGTATAAGATAACCCCATGTATAAGACGCCCCCCTTTTCTAATCCAAAATTAAGAAATCTAAGTGGGGCTTAGCAAGTGCAGGGGGAAATGGAACAAAGCTGCATTCCCCTCCACTTGTTTTTGTTCTCTCCTCAGCTTACTTCCATGTACAGTGGGGTCATGACTTGAGAACTTAATCCGTATTGGAAGGCGGTTCTCAAGTCAAAAAGTCTGTAAGTCAAGTCTCCATTGACCTACAGTGCATTGAAAACCAATTAATCCCGTAACAGGCCGTTTTTGTTCCATTCTGGTTTTTTTCTGGTCTGTAAGTCAATTCTCAGGCTGCAAGTCAAACCTAAATTTTGCGGCCAAAGAAGTCTGTAACTCAAAAAGTCTGTAAGTCAAGCCATCTGTAAGTCAAGGGTCCACTGTATAAGACGACCCTCAATTTTTAGTCTAAAGATTTTAGACAAAAGTATAGTCTTATACATGGAAAAATGTGGTATATTCTTTTTGACCAGGTGTTCAGTGGTTTTGGCTAGTTGTTTGGTGGTAATGTTAGGGTAGAAGCAGATGTTACAGATAATGCATCATTAGAGCTGAAAGCATGTTGATGCTGAAGTAAAGTGATTCCAATTAAGACATAAGATTTCAAAGGAATCTTGGAATCCAAATGAAGCTAGCAAATCTGCAAACTGGGAGATGCAAGAAGCTTCTTCTGTGACACTCACACACAACCAGCCTTTAAGGATTTTTTTTCAAACTACATAGTATCTATAAGGGTTATTTTTGGCCTCAGAATCCCTCATCAATAGCAACTTCCATGTAAGGTTGTATATATCACATTGTATGGTTCATGAGATGTGGTAGACAATTGTGTCACATACGAGACAAACACAAAAGCAAGATTATTGTGGTACCTTAAAGACTAACATTTATTCCAATGTATCTTTTTAAAATTACATAATTTGTAAAAGCACAGCATGAAATTAATTGTTAATCTTTAAGATGCCACAATACTTTTGTTTTTATTTGCACTTTGTCTCTTATAAATGCTAAAACAGACTAATGTGACTACATGTCTGAAAACTATTACACTATGTGTCAGGCTTTGGCTTTACTGATCTCAGCCATCTAGCAGAAAACAAAATAGGTCCTCCAAGACTGTGCCAAGTAAAATTAAGTTTGGCTCTCTAAAAAACAAAAACTAGAATTGTCATCTAATTTTATTTATACAACAATTTTCAAAAACAAATTACTCAAAGTACATTAAAGAGTTTAACATGGCAACACTGAAGAGACCCTGTTTTAATTCTTCCTTGTATAACCCTGAATCAAAAAAGTTTCTTTTGAATTCGTGGCAACAGTATGTCATTGTTGGTGATGCCATTCTCCCTAAATTAATGTAAGCTGTGGAAAAGAATGCTATTGCTCTCATTCATAATTACAAAAGTTATGATCCTCAGAATAACATTCCTGAAAATTCAGCTAAAGACATGAGATCTTGCCTGTCCACATCAATTCATGTGCTGATCATCTGAAATCTCCTGTTTTTTCACTATGGAGGAAAAGCAACAAGGCTAGGATCTTAAGAAAAAAAAAACAGGGAATCTCTAGCCTGCTTCAATTAATATCCTGGAAGGTTTTCATCTTCCCTTTGTATCAATATTTCATTGTTTCTCCTTGCTGCCATCATCTGCCTGCTTAACTTAAATACAGTGGGGTCTCTACTTAAGAACTTAATGCGTATTGGGAGGTGGTTCTCAAGTTGAAAAGTTCTTATGTTGAATCTGCATTTCCCATAGGAATGCATTGAAAACCATTTAATCCGTATCTGCTCTTTTCCGTCCATAGAAACTACAGAGGAACCTCTAATTAAGAACTTAATCCATTTTGGAATGGTGTTCTTAAGTTGAAACGTTCTTAAGTTGAAGCCAAATTTCCCATAGGAATGGACTGAAAACCAATTAATCTGTTCTGGCTGTTTTTTGTTATGTAGAAGTGCGTTCGTACATTGAAGCATTAGTTCCCATAGGAACTAATGCAAAGCTGGTTAATACGTACTCTACCACTAGGGGGAGAATTTTTTTTTAACCTAAGATGACCTAAGGTTAAAAAAAGAGCAGGAAAGGTTTTTTTTCCTGTTCTTATCTTGGATTTCTGTTCTCAAGTAGAAGCAAAATTTAGCAAATGGAGCTGTTCTTAAGTTGGATTGTTCTTAAGTAGAGACGTTCTTAAGTAGAGACCCCACTGTAATAGATTATGAAAAATCATGACCTTAACAGAAGAATTTAATTTTGCATGCGTACACCAGCATGCATCATCCACATACCAATGTGCTTCCATTCTGCATATTATGCAAGTCCCTGTGAGCATGAGCACAAAAATCCAAACAGGCAGTGACCCCGGAGAATGGGCGACCTTCTTTTAAACCCAGACGACACTCAGGTGCTCTGTGTTCATATTCAATCTAAAAACAAAAAGAATTCATTATCAATATATATTACCATTTAAATTTTTGCATCACTCTACAAAATGATGATTATTTTAAATTTAAGGGAAGGAAACTCTGCTATCACATTGAATTCAGAAGGCAAGGCACTTCTTAAGAGTATATCTACTACATCATCAAAATAATGTACGACAAGATCTACTGGAAGTTAAGACTGCTGGTGAGCTGTTATTTCATCTGTTCCACCTCTCATGCACAAGAACTGTTCTGTGGGATCACACCAAGGCCCTCAAACCTGTCATTCTCATATCCATCAATGGCACCAAGATGCTCCAGGAAACACCTACACTGGGGTAAGGCAAGTTTGTTGTCCCCTCATCCTTTTTGTTCTCAGCATCTGACAATCAAAGATATCTCATATACCATGTGGACAATTCTGATGGGTCCATTTGGAGTAATTTTGTCCCCTAGGAACCACAGGAACTGTTAAAAATGCCCAAAATTGGAAAAAATGAAAGTCTAGAAAAAGAGGTGTGACGTCCACCCTCGTGCCCCTTGCTTGACCGTCAAGCCTCAGAGCACACGAAGGCAAACACTCTCTTTTACATTTGCTGCCACCAGATGATCTCTAAATCACCATTACTTCAGAAAGATTCAGGTCCACACTTCTTCTTTTAAATAAAACTTTGGTTTATTGATTACAGAGATTCATAAATCTTCAGTAACTAATCATTCCTAAATTTCCCAAACTACACACTCTATTACTCTCCCTCTTACTCTCTACACACTGACTTAAACTGACTCTCTGACTCCGCCTCTTATAGCATCTCTCTTGGCTCCGCCTCTCAGCAACATGAATATTCATAAACCATTACATAATACAACAAGAACCATAGATCTAGTAAATGGAGAACACTACAAGAGGCATTTTTGATATTTAATGCTGGAATTGGGTGGAGTGGGAGGAACTATGACTGATTTAAAAGGTAAATTGCAGCTGATGGGCACTTCCAGGTGTGGCAAGGACCACTCTTCCTTGTGGTAGTTTTTTTTAAAGCAGTAAAGGCCAGAGGAATCAGGGACCTACAGAAACAGTTACACCTACTGTATTTTAACAGAAAGCTCATCCTCTAAATATGGATCTCTATTCTGCATAGGCAAAATAGCACAGGGAAATGTATCACAGGACTTGTGGAAGCCATTTGTTTCTCAATTATTGTTTTTTTTAAATCTTTAGGGGAAAACCCAAAGGCTGAAGGCAGGGGATGGCATCAAAAACACTCTAAAAAGGTCTGAGGATATTCAACAGACACAGAAAGGTTAGAGACTATTGAGATGGGGGGAAAAATCCAGGGATAAGTGCACAGGAATGGAGCATTCTGGAAGAATGTGTTTCTGTCTGCAGTTACAAACAAACTTCTGTTCTATTGCTGGTCCCACTTGTATTGGTTCTGTTTGAATCTAAATGCTATCCTTTGGATTACCATGACCATTAGCTACTGCTATACAGTGGACCCTCGATTTACGAAGGTCCCTACTTACGAAAATTTTGAGATACAAAAAGCTCCGGCCGCAAAATATTCATTCGATGCGGCCGGAGCTTCGACCTACAAAAGGCAGGGGGAAGGGTGGGAAATTCAAAGCCGACCCTGCTGCCCTATGCCTCCTATCCCCATGGGCAGCGGAGGGGGTTTTGAAGCCTGGGAAGCCGAAAGCTGCTCTGCGTCCACTGCCGGCTTTCGGCTTCCCAGGCTTCAAGCCCCCACCACTGCCCCCTGTCTCCCATCCCTTTTGCCCTCTGCCTCCTGCCCCCACAGGCAAGACTTGGCAAGCCAAAAGCCGCTCTGTGCCTGCTGTCAGCTTTCAGGGCTAAGAAAGCTGCATCCACTGCCCTCTTGTCTCCTGTCCCAGGTGCCCTCTGCCTGAGGCATAGGGCACCGGGGACAGGAGACAAGAGGGCGCAGAGGGCAGTGGGAGCAGCTTAGGAAGCCCAGGAAGCCAAAAGCTGCCCCGACTCAGCGGGCACAGAGCGACTTTCGGCTTCCTGGGCTTCCAAAACTGCACCTGCTGCCCTCTGTCTCCTGTCCCCTCTTGTCCTTTGGCTCAAATGGATTAAATGGTTTTCGTCTAATCTTGAGATTACGAGTGGTGATACCAAGGTGGTGAGCGCCCCCGAGTCAAGGTAGGGTTGCAGCCAGGCAATCCGCCAGAGATGGAAGAAGGCAGTGTGGACTACCGTCTGCCCTGACAAATAAGAAGAACTGGATTCTTAAAGAAAGGTTTAATTTGAAGATTTTATAGCACATTCCTTTTTGTGAACAGTGATGCCACAACATACTTTTTCATTTGGACTGATTTGCCATCTTGAGAATCAGAAAAGAAACATAAATGTTAATTGGGAGAGGCACGCATCAATAAAGCCACTGACCTAGCCAATATCTTACACACTCAGGAGGATGGATGTGATTTATCGACAGCTTCCTCTATGATCTAGTTTAATACTACTTCTGTTTTATGTGCTGATATAAGATTTGTGGATTTGACGGAGACTAGGAAAATGCACTAGATGTGTGTGTATGCATGAGTGTGTGGGGAATGGTGTTAATCAATGTGCAACATAGGGAGAGACATTATAGCTGGACAGTTAAGACACCCCAGGAGAAAATGTTCTATTAGAGTAATTAATATAGATACTGTAATTATGCTCTGTGTCAGAAAGAACATGCTACACCAGCTGTTCTGAAAAGCACTTCAGGCAGAGGAAGCTCTAGGGATATCTAAGGAATCCTGCCCCAGGTATTCTACCAGTACCTTCAGAGCAAAGGAATAATCTATGACGAGAACTTGGAACAGCGTTCCCTGAATCACTATTTAATATGCTTTACTTATCATTTGCTTTATATAATTAAGAGTATTTTTGTCATACATTTCCACTTTCATCCACAGTATATTTGCCATATGTGATAACTCTTATTTGCATTAGTAAAACCACTAAGTGATCTTAGAGGTGCTACTATTTTCAAAGATTTCCCAGTGACAGAAAAAAACAAACACCTTGGCTATTAGGGCTAGCCAGAAGGGGTTGACCCCTGGCTTCTTCATACTAATTATCAGAAAATATGTAAATGTATACTAAAATTTTTGAGGGGGGAGGGATCTAATTCCCACAAAGGATTATTTTAAAAAATTATTTTAACAAGACTTATATAGAGACGAACAAGAATATTTTTGTGTTGTTACTAAACTCTATGTTTTGTTTACCTACCTGGTTGTTATATGCATCTGGTGCCAGTTTCTTATACGTGGGAGCCATCAGCGTTGACAGTGTCTGAAGATTGGATTCTAGCTTTTCTTCCTATTTGTTTTAAAATATTAATTCCACACATTACCACTGAATTGTGTTAATTTAACAAACTAAATCTCAAGTGCATTTGTACTTTACATCACCATGGCATTATTCAGTGGGCCATTAAATGGACATATAGCATGGGCATATGGCATTACATTCCATAGGGCAGAGCTGAAAGAGCTACATTATGTCTTGCTTAGAAAAGAGAAACTTAAGGATAGAGATGGTCTCTATCTTCAAATATACGAAGGGCTGTTGCACATGGAACAGACTTCTGTCTTGTGGCAGGACTAGAACCAAGAGATGGAAATTGTAGGGAAGCAAACTTTGGAAACATACCAAGATAAATATCCTAAGAATCAGAGAGAGTGTTTGAGAGTGGAACATACTGATCAGAAAGGTCATGGGTTCTTGGAAGGTCATAGAGGCTGTACAACCATCTGTCAGGAACACTTTAACTTCTTCCTGCACTAAGCTAGAGACAAGACCATCTGCAATGTCCTTTCCCACACTCTGTGATCCTTTGTTTTTGTATGTGGATTTGTCTTTTTGCTTACTTTACTGCATTACTGTGAGCTGCTAGAGAGACAAGCAGGACAAAATGCAACTCTGCAGCTAAAGGCAGGCACTGAGAGAGATGCCTGGGGCTCACCCTCAGGAAACTGAAGGACTGACATTTGACCTTGCTAGTCATTCTTACTGAGGTAACAGGGATAGAAATGCCCCAGAGACAGCAACATATACAGTTTTATTTAGCTCCTACCTCTTTTGGGTCATCCCCTAATAATTTGAACTTCCTTGGGATCTTGCTTCTGGCAAACTTGCATCCATTGTAGTACATACTCCATGAACAGCCAAAGGAAAAAGATGCACCACACGTCTCAGGGTCAAGACCTTGGCATGCACATGTTCGTCTACAAAAGAAGACAGCATTTCTAGCAACATTGCAATCACAGCATGGATACCAGTGAAGTGTCTGTCCCTGAACAAGTATATATCTTGATGACTTTGCTGATCATCTCACTATGTACAACACCACTAAGTTGATTTTGAAAACATAATGGCCAGAATCCAGCTACATCTTTATGTGGCAATAGTGCAATTATTGTAAATTTTGGTGACAAACTGCCACAAATTAAATCAATCTAGGCATTTGTTATAATAACAAATGAAATGCTTTGGCACTTAACAGCAAATACAAAGACATTTACAGCTGGGATCTACAATTATTGAGTTATGCCTAATAGGATTCTGGCCAACATTAAACAACTATTACAAATTTGTGATGTTCACAAAATCAAGATGTAACTTCTTCCCAAAACATTCAACAGGCAATTAACAAAGTTAGAGAGCACAGCCATCATGTTTCCATAATTGTTTAACAAAATCTTGCCCATGGTGTTTTACAATATTAGGGCTGTGCATTGTTTTTGTGTAAAAGTAGATATATTAATTGGGATTTAATAAATATAATGTAAATTTAATCAGTATCGACCAATACTGAAATAAAATGTATTACTTCTTTGGGATTTTAATGACTTTTTTCCCCTTTGGAAGGTAATGGTATCTGTGGGGAAATGACATCATGTACTTGATAAAAGACACAAACTTGATAAAAGACACAAACATGTTAGGTCAGATAGGCTGTACATTGACTGCTTCTATCACACTGAAATCCTGTGATTAACCAGGGCAGTTTAGATGCATAATAAAGGCGGATTTAGATCTCTCTCTCTCTCTCTCTCTCTCTCTTACAAATTCAAATATGTGATGTTCACAAAACCGAGATGTAACTTCTTCCCGAAACATTCAACAGGCAATTAACAAAGTTAGAGAGGACAGCGATCATGTTTCCATAATTGTTTAACAAAATCTTGCCCATGGTGTTTTACAATATTAGGGCTGTGCATTGTTTTTGTGTAAAAGCAGATATTTTAATTGGGATTTAATAAATATAATGTAAATGTAATCAGTATCGACCAATTCTGAAATAAAATGTATTACTTCTTTGGAATTTTAATTACTTTTTTCCCCTTTGGAAGGTAATGGTATATGTGGGGAAATAACATCATGTAGCAGAACTTGATAAAAGACACAAACATGTCAGGTCAGATAGGCTGTACATTGACTGCTTCTATCACACTGAAATCCTGTGATTAACCAGGGCAGTTTAGATGCATAATAAAGGCGGATTTAGATCTCTCTCTCTCTCTCTCTCTCTCTCACACACACACACACAAGAGAGAGAGAGAGAGAGAGAGATACACTATTCATTTCCTGAATCTATTGTACATGACAGGTATTATACAAATATTTTAAAATGAATGAGTGAATGAATGAACGAACAAACAAACAAATAAATAAATAAACAGCATTCCCATAATGCCAGATAGGTCCCTAAGATATTTTCAGAAAGTGGCAGAGGGAAATTTCAAAAACACATGTTTTCATAATTAGGATGCTAAGCTAGGCACCTTGGATGGAGCTTGCTGCCATTGTGGCACACTATGTACTGGGCAGAGATTATTGCAAGAAAAATCTATGCATTAAAAAAACTTACAAATTTTAAAAAATTAAAAAAATTATGGGAGAAATGAAACTAAGCTTCTGTTCTCCAGTTCAGACTAAAAATTGCATTTAGCTCATAGTATTTATAGTATCTGTAGTGCTTATGGCCTTTAAAATTTAAAACAGTTAAAATGATTATGGGAGAAATGAAAGTAAGCTTCTACAGCACACTGTGTGTGCCCATGGTTGAAAATGTATTGAATCTGATTCAGAATTACACTAAAAATGGACATTATGGAAAGTACAGTTGTCACAGAAGGGAGCAGAAATGGGTTATCTATTGAACAAAATGACTCTTCTTCCTGATGAATGATCACATAAAAACAGTAAGTTAAATTAAGACAATTGACATGTTAGCATAATAATAAGGTACATAACTTTGATGGGAATTGTTTTTCTTTGCATCAGGATTCTCAACATATAGTTAGGTTACAGTTCCAGGTAGGGAAGATAAATAGTATCTTGGCTAGGGGCACTTTCAGAACCTCACTATCATCAGGTTACCACTTTCTGTTTTTTAAAAAAGTTACAGGGCTAAATCCAATTATTAATCCCAATTAATGAACCAACTGAATCATGGCACATATGTTAATGTTGTCTTAAAAAGTCCCATTCATTCAAAGGGTGTTCTCCAGTTTAGACTAAAAATTGCATTTAGCTCATAGTGTTTATAGTATCTGTAGTGCTTATGGCCTTTGATACTCAAATACATATTGCACTGATCTGCAACTGGAGTTAAGGACACGACACTGGAAACTGGAAAACAAAATACTTTAAAGCCAATTCTCTGGAGTTCATTTGTAACTACCAAACAACCTGTAGAATTTTTTTTAAAGGTTGAATATTAAAAATATACTGTTTTCCCTTAGTATAGACAGTACATTTAACAAATACAAAATCACTAAGCCTGGTGCAACACTGTATATTACAGACACCCCAAAACAGATCTGAAATCACACTAGAGTTCCAGACATATGACAGAAGTGAACTTTTATGTCTGTGAAATCAGACTGAAAAACAAAGCCAGGTTCAGATCCAAAGATCAACCATGTAACAAAACAAGTTCATTTGCAAGACATGAGAAGTGAGGAAAAGCTCCTGTCATGATGATCATGCTCTTCCTGTAGCAAAAGAATTAACTCCTCTAATGACTAGTTATTGGTACGGTACAGGTTGACTTTTAGTTTGGGGCCTCCTTCAGCTCAATGCCTAGAAGCAACTGTTCAATTTGCCCACCCCTAAAATTGGCCCTGCATGAAGGGGAACAAGTACATACTTAACTTACTCTTCGTTTAGAGCACACCGGCGATTGGTGAGCGTGCCATATTTCCTTAAAGTGTCAGAGAGTTCTGAATACAGTTTGTCTGCCAGGCTTCGTGGAATCCCTTCCCACACCAGGATGAGCACAATGATCACTGCCGCTTCACAGGTGTGGCCTGCACGCTCCCGTACCAAGCAAAGGAGTTTCTCTTCAGTACTGCTTCTACGAATTACCTGCATTATCCAACAAATACCCACCCAAGATAAAGGGACATATATGTTTTTATTGAGATACAAGAGAAGGTGGGATCTGTGCTCTTAAAATCACTTAGGTTTTATCCACTCTTCATATACAATAAGTTACAACAGGTCGTACACATTCTTTATAGGCCATAAAGCATAGCATCTTCACATAACGAGATTTCAACACAGGAGGTTTTAGGAGACTCTTGAGTCTGTGCAGAGTTGCTGCCAGTAAGAACCAGCAATACTGGGCTAGATAGACCAATGGTGTGACTCAGTGCCTGAAATCCTGTTGGGTGAGGCCTATCTAAACAACAGGAATTATGTCACTGGCAGTCCCAAATTGCCGCTGATTAAACACTTCCTTTTGTGATTTGGGGGTACACATAAGGTAACTTTACCTTTACATGAGTTGTGTGTAGACCAAAACACAAAGGGAGCTGTACAACAGGATTTCAGAGAGTATAAGGCAGTGCTGTGCCTTCTACAAAATTATATGTTAACATATTAGAATCATAAATGATGGGATGACATTTTCCTTAATCAGGTTACTATGTACAACTTGCGTTGCCTGGTTACCTCCAACTTCAATCTGTTGTTCACTGAGGGTTTTAAATTGTTCTAATGATTTTTACTGTATCTGAAAACTACTTTGAGATTATGGGAAATGTACACTAAGAAATAATAAATTCATAAATAGAGAACATTTACGGAGCTTTGAATGCCTTTGGTGAGGTACATTTTCAAAGCATTCCATTTTTTTTCTAATTATGTTTTTCTCAGCTCAGTAACACTATTGACAAGTTCCTTTTTATCTTCATTGGTGTACATTTTCTATAAAATCTGGCAAGTCTGGACAACGATTAATTTTAAGACACATTTTGCTATTCAGTATTTTAATTTCTAAATCCATTTCTGGATTTATCATATGTCCTTTAATAGCACTCCTAGTTAATTGCTAGGGCTACAATTTTATTTACTAAATATTTTGACTTACATGCTTATATAGAGTAAATACACCATTTTACACTTAGATGAACAGTATACCTTCTATCACTGGTTTCAAAACTGGGCTGTGTGCCTCCTCATGGAGGTATGAAGTGGTGTGTGTGAGACAGAGAAACACTGCATCGTCTTTCACATTAAAATTACTGTTTCTGCTATTTCTTAAGGCAAGTTTCATTTTGTTGTTTTGTTCTATAAAAACCTATTTGTTCTTATTCTGAATTTAAAATAATTTGTACTACATTTTGGTATTTATTTTAATTTTAAATTTCAAAGTCATTTTTAAGGCAGTTGAATGGTGACAGTGGTGGAGTAGAATGACAGCTTTTCGAAAATAAAAAAAGGGAGATGCAGTGTTGAAAAGTTTGGGAGCTATTGCTTTATATGGTCATGTACACACAATTCTTACCCATTTAGCAATAGGACATCCTTGGGCACTTTTGCCTTCCTTCCCTGTATAGACAATCTTCTCTATTCTTATGGCTTTGCCTTTCTGTCCATATCTTTAAAAAAGAAAAGAAAAACCCAATCATATGAATGGACAAAGAGAACATGACAGTTGTAACTTAGGGTAGATTTATATATCATTAGGGCCTGTCAAATATTCAGAAAATACGTATGCTTCCCTTAGCTTTGTATATAGGTTTGGGGTGTGAGGATTAAATAACTCTGCACTAAAATGAGAACTGAATATATCCCACTCTAAATGTAGTATTTTACAGCAACAGAAGAAAGCTTTGTGCTGTAACATGTTAACCATACAGATGCAACAAATACTCACAAATTGGCCTGGACTATAAAAGGGTAAGTCTCAACACACTGAAACACTGCGTTTTAAAAAAATACATGTCAACTGCTGCAAGTTTTTTTCATTCCTATGTGAAAGTAAAATGACTGGCACTTGTTTTGCCTGCAGCAACATTGCGCAAAAACATTTGTAATTTTCATATGAAATTTATTTTTCACACAAGATCCCAGTGTGTGTTTTTTTCTTTTTGCAAAATGAGAAAAATGGACGAACACTTCCTTAATTTTGCTCAGTAGAGCGAAGACTCTTGAAATGTTTGAGTCTTACTGTGAGAATAAAGAAACAAATATTTGCTAGTGTTGAAAACTTCTGGGAGTTTTAGTCCAAGAATATCTGGGGACTTAAAGGTTGGGAACATCGTTCTAGAGAGTATGTTATAACTGCTAGGGAGGGGCCTCCTTGAGGTTGGGAACATTGTTCTACACTAGAAAGTATGTTATAACTGCTAGGGAGGGGCCTCAAATCCAGTGTTTCTCCATATTTCACTGGTGTTAGGCTAATAGGGTTTACCTCTGAGTCAGACATGCATAGGATAGCACTGTTGGGAGAACATTAAGTATTTGCATTTTTATTATAGTAGATATAAGAATGATTGGAACACTGAGCTAACATGATTCCACTTGTCATTTTTGTAAGATAATCCTCTGTGTTTCATATTGAAAATAAAGTGTAAAATGAGAGGGGGGGGTTAAGGGATCATTGGTTATAAATATAATTGTGATTAAAAGCCTTACATGTGCTTTAAATTTGCAAGACAGCAAAACTTTCACACATTCCTATATTTCATAATGTACATAAACACCTTCCATAAAACATAAAATTTAAAATTTCTTAAGATTCCTAAGGACTAACCCAGCCAATCGGAACAGACTATGCATCTCCTATTTAATGTATGGAATCAGTCTTGCATGTGGCATTTGCCTGGCTGCTGCTTGAAAAACGCTAAGATAGAACCAAAGCAAAACTTGCCTCTGCATATCAGTTTAATGTTCTGTGGAAAAAAACAAACACTGTGATACTGCACTGTACACCTAAGTTCAAGTCAAATTAATACCCAAGCTACAGCTGGTCACTTATTCACATGAGAAATTCAATGAATTTGATTTCCTCTTAATGGGAGTGAGAAGAAAGTTAACCCCTGATACTGCTTTTTGGAAGCAGTATGCTTTCCCCCCTTTAAATGCAATGGCCTCTCCTCATCTCTCCTATGTACCTTGGCATGCATGACCCCACTGGGAACACTAGGCCACTGCCTGCTTTTGTAACCACTGCCAACCTTCTTGTTTGGCAAGCTGGTGAATGCTTGTTCCTGTTTGGGTTTGCTGGCATCTGCCTTAGAGTGGGCGGCTTAGGATAGACAGTAAGCCAGTAGACCTGTCAAATCTTGAGGCTCCCCAGGGAACAGCACAGTGCCCAGTGCTGGCAATGCTGGAAGAGCCAGCCTAGCAGTAATTACTTGGGTATCCAATTGTGGCATTCTTTACGTGTGAAAGCTAGTGGCGGGGGGGGAACCCTGACATGCACAAATGGATAAACTTTGATCTGTTGTATGCCTTGGTAATTCATTACCGTTCTTCCATTATTTGTCTAATTGCAGCCACATTAGGACCAGCTCCTAGATGGGTATAGAAAGGGCCTTCATCTTTTTCAATGATCTGTTCTGTTTAAAACAAGATTGAAACAAACAGACAAATTATTACTGCATTGTTGTTGATTTCTCTGAAAATCACACACACACACACACAAAGTCTTACGTTTAGTTTCTGATTGTTTTGGGCCACATTTCTTAACAACACCTAAAATTGTTTAAAGAACTACACAACAAAAAAAGAGTAAGACTAGCCAGTAAAGTTACTGATTTATAGCTATCACTTCAACATAGTGAGTGTTCATTCATAATTGATAATTAGGTGGGGTGGTTGACATTTTATTTCTATTTCACTTTGGAAGGTTTAAAAAAAATTAAATATAAATATTTGCACTGAACAACATGGTAAGTAATATATACAAAACAAGAATCAATTTGTTTCGGCCGATAATGCTACAGGTCGGAAATTTTTATGAGGCATGGTTAACACAAGGAAGGAGGGAAGGAAGAAAAACTGTTTTATCTACAGCAGGAGGGAAGGAGAGAGATAAATATAAGCAAGAGAGTTGGGAGAGCTGTTGTAGCTTGGATGAGGAGCCAGGGGCTAGGAGTCTGAATGCCCAGCATTCCTCCTGTCAAAGGGTTCAGCCAAGTTCATTTGCAGTGTGTGTGGATGATGAGGTTCTGTATCCATCATCTGTGTGGCACTGGGTAGGTTGCATCATTTCAGACCACCACCAGAAGGAGGTAAACCACTCTGAGCACTTTAAACCTAGAAAATGGGGGTCACTGCAAGTCAGAAAAAACTTGAGGGCATATGGTCATAATAATAATAATAATCAGGGGAACTGGGGCGCCTCAGTAAGCTATAACAGAATAAACACTGCACTTATGTTCATTAAAAAAAAACCCTCAAATGCAACTCACCAACACAACTGCAGGAAGGGAAATCATATTGGGTTTTGACAGGTGTATCTAGTAGGTTTTTCACAGGACTATCAAATAACTTGGAAGGTGACTCTAAAAAATGATTGAGAGCTGTTCCAACAGTTCTTTTTGTTGGTGTTTTTTCATTAGAATGAAAGGCCTGTTGATCTAAGGAGGAAGCATGAAATTCTGCAGCACTGGAATTCCTTGACAGAATAGTGATGGGTCCTAAACTTTCAACTTTCACATGTTTTGGTGATTTGATAGTAAGGGACTTGTGATCGAAGAGTGTTTTGACCTGAATCTGTTTCAGCTGCTGCTCCATGGTTTCAATGATGCTCTTTTGTTGCATGCTCTCACAACCAAAATGCTGAGCCTCTTGTTTGATTGCTTTCTTCCATGTTTTGTTTTCCAACTGCCCTGCCAATGGAGGGAGGCAGGGGTTCACCTTGGACCCAGCTTCAGATTTGATGGACTTGTGGGTCATAAGATGACATGTCTCATGTTTGTTTTGGTTAATCTGTTGCTCTTGCTTGTTTAAGATGTGCCACCGAAGAGCAGCATGCTTCTGAAAATCCTTGTGGGGTTGAGATGGATGATGGATCTCCCTTTGATCCAGGGCATGAGAGGTTACCTGCTGACTATATGATAAATATGCTTGTTGAGGATGGGTAGGTTGCTGGCTGCACATGTTGGCAGTTGAATTAGAACATGCCTGTGTTTGCTGGAAGGGTACTTGGAGAACTGAAGCTGGGGGAGACTGGGGCTTTTGTTCCTGAAAGCACTGGGAGACGTCTTGTTTGGGGCCCATACTATTTGGATAATATTGCATATGCTGTAAGTTAAGGGTTATGTTTTCTGTAAACAGCTCAGTGTTCATAGGCTTTTCCTTATTCTCAGAAATTAAGTGCATATTGTTTGGGTAGGAGGAATGCTTTGGAGCAGCATTTGCTTTGAACGCATTATTGTAAAGGGCATCTCTGTTGTTTATACTTGATCCCTGTTCTAGTCTGGTTTGTGGGGGGTGAACTGGGAGCTCCACTGATTTGAAATAATTGCTTGCTGATTCAAAACATTCCTCTAATTTAAGCTGACTAAATGTTGTCCTTTCACGGTGTTGCTCTGGAGTGCTACGGGAATGGGAAATGATCTGGGGAAGTTCTCTGTTCTTCATTTTTAGTTCTGGCTGCTGAGAGTTCAAGGCCAGTTGTGGAGTCTCTGATAGTTGCATTGGCTGAGCCTGGAGCATCTGTTGCAAAATATGAGAATGCACGAATTGCTCATTCTCCAGTGGTGAAGGATTTAAGTGCTGTGACTTTGACTGAACCTTCAAAGGCTGTTCACTGCGGTGTTCTTCTTGTGCCTGGAAGTGGAAGTGCTTTACATTGTGTTGTTGTTCATGAGATTTCAACAGAGTCTCCATCTTTGAAGGAGACGATGAGTGCTTTTGGAACTGCATTTGCTGGTCATTTGTCAGATGAGTAGGCAGTTGCATTGGCTCGCTCTTGTATAGTGCTGGTATTTGCTCACATTGTGTGACATCCTGGTAACAGGTCTGTCCTGTAATCCCTTGTGACACATCGGGGCTCTCAGAATATCGTTTTGGATGTAGCTGTTCTGTTGAACTTGACTGGAGCTGAAGCATAGTCCTCAAGAGCACCTCATTTGATTTTTGGGGAGACTCACCGGGTCGAAAGTGAGGGGAAGTCATTCCTGTCCACAAAGGTTGCAAACGAGGCTTTGCCTGTTGAAATTGATTGTTCACTCGAACTTTTTCATTGTCAGCTAGACTCTCCTGATTAATTTGGCCCAAGAGGTGCTGAAAGTGGTATTGTAACTCTTTACTGCTTCCTAATATTTGTTCGTCTTCAATTTGACCCTCCAGTTTTGCCTGCATTTCATTGGGATACTGTTCTTTAATGCCTGATGCCATTGCAGGGAGCACCAGATCCTTTTCTCTGACAGGTGGCTTAGAAATCTGAACATCTTGTTGAAGACTCTGTTGAGAACTAAGTGCTTGTTGGCAAAAGTCAGGCATTTGTGTTGCAAATTCTGCCTGTAGCTGCTGCTCTCCATTCTTTCCTTCTCTATAATGAGTCTCCTGACTCTGGGTCTCAGAAGGGTTATTATGCTTTTCTGAAGCTCCAGAGGATAGAATACTGTGTATCTCTAGCGCAGGAGAAGAAGCTGCAACTGGAGGTGCCGTAAACGAATCCTTGAACATGGGATCTTGTTGGAATAAACCACCATTTTCTTCTCCTGGCTCTGGCAATTTCTCTGAGTTATCGTTTAAATCTTTCAGGTTGCTGTGGGGATTTACTGAAAAATCTTGATTGACAAGTGCGTAGTCTGAACTGTGAACCTGCCTCATGTTTCCCGGAGCCTCAATGTTCTCTGTAGGTGACTGGTGTGTGTTTTCCATCTTTTGCTGCTCTAACTGAAGCTCTGAATTCTCAAACGTGTAGCATGGTGGCAATGTGGGTAGTTTATTGGAACCTTCTGTACTGTGGATATCAGTAGCCACAGAACCTAGCACCTGAGGCAGCTCAGAGTTTGAGGTTTGTGGGGAGCTGATCTGCCCTGAGGTATGGGATGAATGCGGTGTGCCACAAGCCAACTCGTTCATAGCCCGAGTGTTTATGGCATTTGTAAGAGATGTGTTTTTTTGCATTGCAATGGAAACATGGTCTGGATTATATTGAGAGAGCGTTTTCTCCAGGAGTTCACCATGCATGGTTTCCATAGAAGAGGCAGAAACGATAGCACCATTAGGCATTGGCACTGTCTTGTTCTTGTGTAGCAAGACAAAGTCCCTGTTGTGGCAATTAATATTTTGGCTCTCCTGTTCATTCTGAATTTGGGGAGCATGGGGAGATTCTGAAGCACCACAGTTGTATCTTGAAGACTGCATAAGAACTGAAGCTGCATTTTGTTCCACATTAAAACCCGTAAAGTTTTTCTCGCTGCATGTAGAAGAAGCACCTGGTTGCCTGCTGCCATCTAATGAGGTATCTTTTTCTCCTTTTGCATCTTCATCTTGTCTGAGTTTCTTATTCTGGTGAAGCCCATACAGAGACGGCTCACTAAAAGTCCTTTTTATCCCACCGTTTTGCATATATCTGTTACAATTTTTCTTTTCCTGCACAAGATCAGGACTTATTCGATTATTTCCATTTCCTTTCACAGCATGCTTTGTTCCGTAGTTGGCTTTGAAATGCAGCCATGTGTGGTTGCCATTCATTTCAATGTGAGACTTATCTGTGGATGGGCTTCCATTCTGCAGCTTCACTGAGAAAGGTTCTGCCTGGCAAACATGAGAAGGAGGTGGTATTAGAAATGGGCTCAGACTACTGCCTTCAACATGGTTGGTTCTATCCTGTTCCATCTGGCCTATTCTGGGGCCATCCACAAGGCTGCCCTCTTATTGTATCTGAAAAAGAAAATAGGGGAGGGGAGAAATCCACATTTACTTGACACACAGCACATAAAGTTGCACACCATCATAGTATATAACAATTGTTTAGTCAATGTGTTCACCTAATGTACACCGTATTTCAGTAACCTTTCTTTACCTTTCCTAATTGAGGAGATGCTTCCACATTAGAGTAGACAAAGATGCTCTTTAAAAGTCTTGGTACACATTTTAGCATCCAGGCTGGCACTTTGATCCACCGTTGGGTCTGTCCTGACTCTACCTGTGTTTTATCCTTGTCCGTAACTGTCTTACTTGGAGTTCATTTTTTTCCAAACTTTTACAGTGGGAGTTTCTTTTGCTGTTGTTTTAATTTTACAAGTAATCCCCCTTTTTTATTATTCTAAGTGGTATGGCACTACATCAATCATCAATGTTGCAGATAGTGTATTTTTCTGCAATAGAAACTTCCCTGTCTTTTGCTTTGATAAGCTGCTATTACCTTTAGGCTTTCCCGTGCAATAGGCTGACAAAGCTTGCAAAGGCAACAATTAAGACAGAAAATAAGTGCCCCAAATTAAACAATCTTACATGCTGTCCATCAAGGTGTTAATAAAGAAACAATTTATTAAAGAAAAATATGTTAATAGAAATGCTGGAATGATTAAAGAGAGCTTTGCAAGCAGCCACTGATGCATAAAAGGTAGTATGGAGGGGGGAATCCTCATACTAGTTGTGACAGAAGGGATGCATTGTTTAGGTTCCTTTACTTTCTACATGATGTTTGCTACTGTACAGCCATTATCTACAATGATGACATGGAAAAAGTGTGTAAGATCCAGAAAGTGTTCAGGTTATACCTCTTTATTCTAAACATATTCTGCCCAAGCATAAGGGAATGGAGAGACACTGGTTGTTGGTGGGTACCTCTGCCCCTGAACTCTGTGCTTCAGGCATTAATTTAACAAAGTACCTTTGGCTGCAATGGCATTTACTAGCAGGGCATCAATATATGAGGTCAAAGCAAATGAGGTACAGTACTGTTACACTTGGGAAGGGAATGTCAGATCAAGCCTAGCGCAGCAGGGGCCTGTGTTAGAGAAGGCAGAAGTGGTCAGTACCTTGGACAGAGCACTGTGAGAAAGCTGGCTCAAAGGTGCACAGGTCTTCTCAGGCCTCATAAGAAATGGTCAGATGCCAGACTAAACCTACTGTCATCCTCTTGCCTAACAGGCCTCATAGTGGGATGTAGTGATTCTAAAAAGTACTTTGTTCCATCTGTGTCTTCATTTGATTTTGAGTGAGACTGAAGAATAGGGAACAAAGCAAGTAACATGCCACTTGAACCTTTGCCTGTTAAGCTTGTTATGAATAAAATAACATAAATCTGCCCTGACTTGGATTCTAATATGTCTATGGTACAAATGCATGGTATTTCCTTTGACTTATTGAGGTGCAGGATTGAAGCAGTTTCACACACTGCAGTCTGAGAATGCCAGGAGGATGCTTGGAGAGAAACACTATATCGCCATGTGTTAATCACTGTGTATCTCGGCTGTTGACATTTCGCTGGATATAGCTGCTATTTGGATCTGGAAGTTGCCTTAAGAAAGGTATAGTGGTTCCAATCAGTTTGGTGGCTGCAAGTCCAGTCTTAAAGGAAAACCATTCCTGAATTCCACTGACTTGTCTAAGTATCAAATACTAAGTTCCCTGCTTGAACAAAATACATAAACAGACAAAACCATCTTATGGAGACTGGGAACTTATTGAACTATCCCGTAGCTCATTTGGGAATGCACAAAAAAGTCCCCACTCCACCTTCTTTGGACACTTCTCCAATTCTTAACCCAGATACATTGATGATTGTTTGAATAACACCCATTTACTCCAACCCACACAAACAAAAGTCAGTAGCTCAGAGCCCACTTTGGCTGGGATGCCAGCTTTCTCCCTCCTCATGAAAATAACTTCTTGCCATATTTATCCACACATCCAATCTAGATTAAGGCATTGTATATGGAGTGCCTTCAAAAAAATCTTCCAGCTTCAGCTGGGATAGATTAGGGTGGTCAAGCTACTAGCTAGGACTTGCAGCAACTAGTACATTTCATATTCCCTTCACAGATAGTAACCCAAGTCATCTCTGTTCTGTAACCAGTTCTGAAGCCAGATTGCAATAGATCTGGACAATCTACATCATTCAGGAACCTTTGGAGATGGGGTGCCACCACACACTCCAAAACTGTGCCCAAAAATTGAACACTGATAATTATCCAATGCAGTGAAATTTATGAAGGGCTTTTTTGAACAAGAGTCTTGCTACTGCCTCCTTTGGGCATGCTAGTTCAAAGAGGCATTCACCACTCCCTTATCTCATTTTTATAATCCAGGAAGGTCAAGGGTCCAGCCCATCTCCAAAGATCCTGTCCACATTCTTAGGCTGCACCAGCTGAAATGTATCCATTATACCAGGACAAGCAGAGGCCAAAGTTATATCAACAGGACTTATGTCAACTACAGCATTGAAGTTGGAGTGGATCGAAGCAATTTCATCTTTCAAGTGTCATGCACACTCTTTACAGCATGCAGTCCAGTGGTCAATGTCCTCCTTTTGTGGCCATCTGTGCAGCAGGCCCTTGACCACCTGGAACAGCTCTACTGGAAAGCTTTGTATAAATGCAATGATGGCAGAGAAGAATTGCTTCAGTGCCACCACTATCACAGAGTAAGCTTTCCAATGAACTCTAGCCTGATTTTGATTGGATCTGTTCTGAATTATCCACCATTGTCACTCTAGTCTCCATCCCACTTGTTTCATCATCCCCAGCTTCCTAATAAACCAAGGAGCTGGTTTGATTACACTCCGAGGAAGGGGATACATAGGAACAATAGACCTGGACACCTCTGCATTCTACACATCTACCAAGGCCTTGACAGGATTGCTTGCCAAGACAGTCAGAAACTCCTCAACAGCTGTCAGGAAACCATTTGGGTCCACTAGAATTCTAGGGTAGACCATTTTCATTGGTCCCTCACACCGACAAAGGTTCAAAGCTTCAATAAGCCTAAACACTACCAAGTAGTGATCTGTCTACAGCAATAGAACTACTGAGAGTTTCTCCACATACAGATCATCACCATCCTGCCTGGTATAGAAAACCAGGTCAAGAGTGTGTTCTCAAACATGGACGGGCCAAATGCCATTTGAGACAGCTCCACGGTCATCATGGTAGACTTAAAGTCCTGAGCCACTCCTGGCAAACTGGCCTCCACAACAATGTTAAAGTCTCCCAGGACAATAAGCCTAGGTGACTGCAGTACCATACCGAAGACTAGATCAGCCATTTCATTCAGGAAGACTGTTGTGCAGCTGAGTGGGCAGTACATGAACAGAATCTCTATTCTACCCAGGGCACCCACGCTCAGGTACACACACTCAAACCCAACTGTCTGTGGGACAGGGCACCTAGAAGCCACTGGCAATGGTGCGGCTATCTCAGGTACACACACTCAAACCCAATTGTCTGTGGGACAGGGCACCTAGTAAGAGTGACTGAATTTCAGTAGATTATTGCAACTCCTCCTCCCAGGATAAATAAATATAAATAAAAAAATATTGTAAATAGTAAAAGTGACTGAATTTCAGTAGATTATTGCAACTCCTCCTCCCAGGTCCCTCACCCCAGGTCAGGCCAGTTGCTGCACAGAGAAATATGCTCAAGAATGAATAACTCCCCACTTCATCCAAGAATGCAAGTGTGTTCATCCAGGATAAAATTCTGGATGCTAGCTGTCTTACCCTTCACTGATCTTGCATAATAGCATATATTTTACAATTATTTTGATAATATATTTGGAATATTTTTCCAGGAAATTTGAAAACAAATGGACATTTACCATAACTGTAGCAATATAATGGAAAATTTCCATAAAATGGGAAGCTATTTAACAAGGCTATGAACCTTCTACATCATAGTACCAGTTTTCCAAATGTACTGAAAAATAAACTGCACCTTTTCAAAAGCACACTCTTTGCTGAAATAGTCTTTCCCATATGGATTCTGCTTCCATTAGTTACTATATTTGAGGAAGGATACGTATCAGCTTACATTTCTCCCCTACCAGCCCTGATTTGTTAGAAATTCATGGCACATCAGTAGCATCTGGGAAACAATTATTGCATGTTGGACCAATTCCGCAGTCTAATCCATCATAATTATGGCTGGCCTCCTTAAAGATGTCATGGTACATGACTTATAGCAGCACATTAGTGTTCAAATACATGAAGATCTCATTCACTCAATAAGCATGCTAAGTAATTCCACCAATACCAACTGACACTTTTCTCATATGGGGCACAACTATAAACACCAATTTTGACATGTGTTGCTGCTGAGGCTACTTTTCCAAAAGACCTCAATTTTCAGTCATTTTACCTCTTTTTGTACAACAGATTTCTAGATCTGCACAATAGGCAGGACTTCAGCAAACAGAATGATTTCACTCAAAAAAGGCATATTTCAAGGTGTGCAGCAAGTTCCAAATTCCCCCATTTCATTTCGCTACAGGTTAGATCTAATCTATTATCTATCTTCTCTGTGGTTTGTTGTTTAGTCGTTAAATCATGTCTGACTCTTCGTGACCCCATGGACGATGGCACGCCAGGCCTTCCTGTCTTCCACTGCTTCCTGGAGTTGGGTCAAATTTATGTTGGTTGCTTCAACGCTGTCCATCCATCTCATCCTCTGTCGTCCCCTTCTCCTCTTGCCTTCACACTTTCCCAACATCAGGGTCTTTTCCAGAGAGTCTTCTCTTCTCATGAGATGGCCAAAGTATTGGAGCCTCAGCTTAAGGATCTATCCTTCCAGTGAGCACTCAGGGTTGATGTCCTTCAAAATGGATAGGTTTGTTCTCTTTGCAGTCCAGGGGACTCTCAAGAGTCTCCTCCAGCACAATTCTTTTAAATAGTTCCATAGGGGACTTTTTGGCTTTTTTAATGATCCACCTAGTACCCA